GCATTTACTGCATTCAGAATTTTTGTTCTCGTTCACAACACTGCTGCTGTATGGACTGCTGAGAGAAGAGATGAAGTAAAGGTGACTGCTAATTAACCAAGTGGTTCTGGAACAATTTCCAGAACAAGTTTTTACTTGCATAACAGTGATAACATTTTTTTAAGCTCTAGAAACAGATGGTGATTTCTCCTCTCAGTGAAGGCTGCCAGTAGCATCAGGAAGTAAACACAGTTCATCAGGCAGATAAATCTTGGGTTAAAACTTTAAGAAATCAAGAGTCACACTCCTTGCTACAAATGCTGGAGGAATTTCACACAGATAATGATGCTATTCAGAATCTGGAGGGTAATTTCCCAGCACCCTGATGAGCTGGCACTGCCTGTAAACAAAAGCGACTCTGCTTGAACAACGCACGACTCACGAAATGGCTTCCTTCAGCCGCGGCACTGCAGCGCCCGAAAGCCGTGAGCAGAGACAGCACTGCCACCTGCTGCTCCCTAGGGCACGGGCCTCACTTCCATCAGGGGACCCACAGTATGGGTAGTTAAAGTTGGCATAATCCCACGATAGTGCATTTACTGCGAATTAATTAAAAAATGAAAATTAATAATTAAAAGCAATAAAGGCAACTGTCAACTTTGCAAAACAGAAGGGAATGAAGTAAGCTGTAATTAATGTGCTGTCACAGTTTCGAAAAAATAAACAAGCCATCTTGCCACTTGTTTCACAGCTTAATCACATCCTTTGATGCTGTTATCTTTGGCTGGTTCAACTGAAGGAGTTTCATTAGCAATTTAGTGAAAATGTAGGCAATCAGCATCTCACCAGATTATGGCTTTACATTAACAATGCTGTCCTTAATTACAGGTATTATTGGGCAATGGCAGACTGATAATAGCTGGAATCTTGGAAATCTTGTCCTTGATGAACATTAGAAATGTGCCCACAGAGTTAATGTTTCAAGGTGATAATAGAAACCATTGCAATATTCATAGGTCTACAACAGTATGCCACTGGCATAAACTAATAGTGACGAGTGAGACGGCAGATGAGGCTAGCAAGAGACACAGTTCATCAGTATTAACCTGGTCACTACAGGTAGGGCTGGTGAAGGGCAGTTCTATGATTGCTGTAAAGTTAGTGCTGGAGACACTATGCAAGGGGTTTTATGAACAAAACCTGGTGGTCCTGGAGCTTTTACATGAGACACAATTAGAAAATTTCACTAGAGTTTTAATGAGTTAGTTGTGAAAGTTTTCAGGAAGCACAAAAGTGATGGTGATTTTATCTGACAATGATGGACAAGTACAATCTGAAGGAAAGCCAACATACTGTTGAGAAAATTGATTTTTCACACCTTCACCTCAGAAATGCTTTGATGAAATAAATAAATGTACATGCAAAGGCATCCATAGTATGCATTTGGTCAGCCACTGCAGGTGAAATCGCAGAATCACATAATTGCAACTGTTGGAAGGGACCTCAAGTGATCATTGAGTCCAACCCCGCTGCTAAAGCAGGTGCCCTACAGTAGGTCGTACAGGTAGGTGTCCAGACAGGTCTTGAATTCTCTCCGTAGAAGGAGACTCCACAGCCTTTTTGTTCAACCTGTTCCAGTGCTCTGTCACCTTTATCATAAAGAAGTTCTTCCGCACATTCTTATGGAACTTCCTGTGCTATCCTTCAGTCTTCAAGCACCTCTCCCATTCACCAAGACCCTTTTAAAGATGATAGAGAGTGGTTCAGCAATCCCCTCTGCCAGCTCCCTCCGCATTCATGGGTACATCCAACTGAGGCCCATGGATTTGCATGTTGATTTTGGCTAGATGCAATCTGATAATCTCTTCCTGAACCCTAGAGAAGCTTTCCATTCTTCAGACTCTTCCTCTTATCTCCAGGGTCTAGGATTCCTGAGGGGCAAATCAGGACTGAAAACTCAGGAAATTTTGCCTCTGAGTTGAGGGGGGCCAAAATGTCAGCTTTCGTGTTTATATTTGCACATGGATTCCACCAGGAAGAATTTTCTTTCTGAATTTTAGAACAACTCTTCGTGCTAGATTCTAAAGAAAACAGCTTTTCCCATTAGTCAGAACACTTGATACGCAGTGTGGCATTACAGCTTGTTCGTACTTTCTCTTCCAATGCTTTGAATCAGGATCATCCTTGCTTGGCAAGTCAAGCTGCCTATGGCTTATCTACTCAATGTGTGTTAATGCTGCTCTGTAAGCCCATTCATCTGTTCTTTATAGGGTCTGTGATTGTAAGTCATTCACGCGCATGAACCTGAGCCCTGCTCTACCACTACCTTCTGTCATTCTTTCTTTAATGCCTGGAAACTCTTCAGAACGGCAGAAAAATGCTGACTGACCGAAGTGGTTGGTCATGTACTCCCTCCCTCTTCTGGTGCAAATTCAAACAGTTTAGCTTATAATAAGCACACAGTGCACAGAAGAGTGTTTTGGCATACAGACATGACTCTGAGACGTATGATGCTCAGTGGATAGAAAAAGGGAATTTATGCAAAAGAAAAGAATTCTAGTAAGCAGTAAAAAAATAGGCTGTGGCTATCCAATCAGTTTTACAGCATATCCATTACTATAGCAGGTATATATGAAATTGCCTTGAAGCTTCCCAACCTGTACACTAAAGGTATCACTTGAATGTATCCAGTTCACTTCTGAAGAGCTCCTATGGGTTATGGTTATTAAGGCTAAATACAGTTACTGGTATTTTTCCTTTGTATAGCCAACACAAGACCATTCTCACTCCAATCCTCTGCTCCTCCAGCCCTGACCCCTCTTTTGGATGTGTGATGCATACTTAACTTAGCAATGTTCATAATCTGTCCTCCAGTACTTACAGAGTACTTAGGGCTGTATGTAAGCGCCTCCTATGGCTTCTGAAACATTTTTTTTTCCATTGCAAAGTAAAAAAAATAAAAACAAATATATTTGCTTTGGCTGATGGAAAAAAAATGCATGAGTACAGTAAAAACAAATATGTGGAAAAAGTAAACAAAACACAACTTATGAGTAAATCTACTGTTGTCAAAAGGCAATGACCCAAACATCACCATTTTTTTATTGCAAGTTGAGGGGACAGCCACATCAGCCTTGACCTGAGGATACAGATTGAGAGATCAAGCAGAGAGATGACATGCATAGGTAACTGGTGAATATTTTACCCTTTAAAATCATTCCAATATAAAACAGGTCTGAATAACCACAGTTATAATCTAATCTATGATCTACACAGTATTAAAGACGAGGCTGTGTAACTACTGTAATTCTAGAAAACTGACAATATGCAGTTCAAGGCTCATAAAATCCAGAAAGAACTGCTATCCATCCCCTCTGTATTTATTTTGCTTTTTCTTAGCTGTATTTCATTTTTTCCTTTCTCCTTTTCCCCTATAATAAGCTTTATGCTTGGCAATTTACATGTTTTCTTTTTACTTTTTGGACTGCCAGTCACAGAGAGTTTTGACTTACAAAGAGATGTTTTCTTATTCTGGAAGCTTCTTTGTCACTTTGACTGCAGGATTTATGCTTCTGCCTCTCAGATAAGCTTCCCCTTCACTGAGATCCATTCTACAATCCCAGCCTCTTTCTATGTGATTTAACTTCTCAGAGATGAATAGATGTTTGGGTTTTTTTCCTAATTTTATTTGAAAAGATTATATTTAAGAGAATTGGTTCTCACATAATCAAGACTTTGTATTAAAAAATATAAACAATAACAATGAAAGTGTTCAATTATTTCAGGATGGCAATCTGGCAAAAGGCACATATATGTAACACACATGAAAAATTATAAGGTGAAAACAAACAGGTACCTTTAATGGCTGCAACCCTTTTCAAGCCAGAAAAAAAGTATAGCACATACTTCGGCAGTTGTCTCACGGCAGATATGCGAAAGACAATTTCTGAGTTTTACTACCTAAGCCCCCAGATTTGTATTCAAAAGTCAGAGTGATCTTTATTTTGCCAACAGTTTGCACGTAAGCAGAAGGGATGTGAAGAAGATTCCTTTATTAGACACTAGAACAGGTTGTGCAGAGAAGTTGTGGATGCCCCAGCATTAAGAATATTCAAAGTAAGGTTAGATGGCTTATGAATAACCAGATCTGCTGCAGTATGTCCCAGCTCATGGCAGGGAGTTGAACTAGATGATCTTTAAAGGTGCCTTCCAAACTAAGTCATTCTATAATCTAAGATTTTATTATAGCATTAGGGAAAATGATTGATGACACCGTCCCTCCCATGTGGAAATACAGGTGAAGCTTCAGGGTTAGAAGGAGACCTGTCCCAACCCCAAAGACAAGTGTTGAAGCAAAGCCCCTGAGGGTAGGAGGCTGCTGTTCCCTCATGAGGTGACACAGTGCTCATCACTGGCTGCATCATCTGCTCATAGTGACGTGTCATGTCTCCAGGAAATGTTTTGGCTTCTAATCCTGTCACTTGAAAGGAGACTTAGTGGCAGACTGGGCATGTCCTATACACAGAAATGAAAAGGGAGCATTGCAGTGAACAAAAAAAAAAAAGACACAAAGTTCTTTAATTGTGGTGTTTTGCATGCAAGATGAGCTTGTTGTTACAAATAATGTATGTGCAAAGGGTGCCTCTGGGCCTATGGGCAGTTCTGAGCAGTATAAAAGCCTGTCCAACACCATGCTCCCTTATCCACTTCTCTTGCCTTCTCCTTGGTAAACAAGGTAAGCAGCAGTGCTCTTCTCATCACTGTCCTCTTTCTCTGTTTCTCCTCTTTCTCTTCTGACCTCCACTGAGTCTTTGACTCTGTTCTAACCTTGGTGTGAGTCTTACTCCTCGGTGGTGCTCCCACCAGCTCTGTTCTGCTTGCCAGAGTCAGAGGAGGTGGAAAAAGACCTTGGGCTGTCACTGCAGGGGCCTCTCCCTGCTCCCCAGCCTGCACCTCCTCTGTTGGTGAACTGTGAACTGTGATGAATTGTGAGATGTGCTTTGCCTTTCCTTTTCTCCTAGGTACACCTCCATCCCACAGCCATGTCCTGCTACGATCTGTGCCGTCCCTGTGGCCCGACCCCGCTGGCCAACAGCTGCAACGAACCCTGTGTGCGGCAGTGCCAGGACTCCCGTGTGGTGATCCAGCCCTCTCCTGTGGTGGTGACCCTGCCTGGTCCCATCCTCAGCTCCTTCCCCCAGAACACTGCTGTGGGATCCAGCACCTCTGCTGCTGTTGGCAGCATCCTTAGCCAGGAGGGAGTGCCTATCTCTTCTGGGGGCTTTGGCTTCTCTGGCCTGGGTGGCCGGTTCTCTGGCAGGAGGTGCCTGCCCTGCTAAAGCTGGGGTGGACATCCTCTGAACACATCCCAGTGATGCTTGAAGCCAGGCACCAGACTGAGGATGTAGCTGCTGGCCAAAGTTTCCAGATGGGCTGAGCACCCTCCTGCCCTCCTGCAAAGCAGAGAGAGGAAGCCAGGGTGCCAGCCTGTGCTGTCTGGAAACACAGCCAGCAGACGTCTTCTTCTGCTTTCTTCTCATCATCACAAGTTTTTGTTGTCTAGTGCTGTCCTCTGCCATGGGTTCATCCTGAAGCAAGCTGAGAGGGCCCTACTTCTTCCACTCACCACATGAGGGAGGAAGACACGCATCCTATTGTGGCAAAGTTTGCCAGGTGATTGCCAATCTGTTTACCAGCTGCTTTTGTAGCAGCTTTAAACTATGCACTGCTTTGATTCCTTCTTTACATTCAATAAAATTTATGCTGCATTGTAATCTCAGTATCCTTGTGTTCCTTTCCTGTTGAGATTCATAGCAAAGTCATTCAGGGAAAAATATTTTGACTTGGAGTCAAAATGTTGTATAGCACCATAAAGTTTACCTTTGTAAACTTTGTGTGGTATTGTCCAGGTCTTATCAGTGTCCAGGATGTTCCTCTAATGGGCATGTCAGCAGTGAGTGATGTTGGATATTGTTTTTCATTTGATAAGACAGGATAATTTGATAAGCTGGATACAGGAGTAGGACTTAATGGTCTTTTTGAGTCTCTTCCAACTCAAGATATTCCATGATTCTAGAATACAAAGAGAGGAGAGCTTCTTAAAAATCAAATTCCTGTATTCCTCAAAGGCTTAAAGAGCCTGCAAACTGCTGGAATTAAGTGTATGTGATCTGCTTGAGAATTTAGATACTTGCTTATTTAAAACTTCATTATATCTGAACACTGATTTTTTATTCCATATATTTCTGAAATGTCCTAACCATCTGACACTTGCTCTATCAATGTGTTAATTTTTAGCAGTAAGGTGTTAATTAAACTTACTTACATGACTGAAAATCACAGATATTGTAGATAGATAATATCTTACAACAAATCCCTACAAAGCAGAGTGATAATTCCTCTAAGGAAAGCACATTCAGAATTTCCTAGACACAGTAACTGCATCTTATTTTAGCGTCTCCAACTACAGAGCAAAATACATAAAGTTCCCTGAGAAGGAAGACAGCTTTGTCAGTCCTACTTCTAAATGAACTGCATTTTTAATTTACAGGCAAGAAACAGCTGTTTTTCATTACTTTGTGCAGTAACATCTCATTATCATGGGCCATCAGGAAGCTAGAGAACAGTCATCTGTGCCTGATGAAGTTGATTCCAACGTTCTAGCTCTGCTTCAAGAAGCAAAACTCGACCTAAGCTGAAAATCAGGTTGGGTTCTGCAGCGCGCAAGGAGTTAAGAGCACAAGTGGTAGAGGAAGATTGGAAACACTGCTGAGGATGAGGGCTGGCACTTCATGAATGAAATGTTCTGGCAAGATCAACTTTAGTTCTAGCAGATGCTGACCTGCTAATTCACTTGCTAGGCTGAGATGTTCAGCAGTTAGGCAGCAAACCATCTTCCCTCTCGAATGAAATGTTCTCACTACAACATTAGTTTACATGTGGGTCAGAGAGGGTGTGAGCAAGCAGGAGGCCCAGCAGTTCCTCCTGGCATGGCCACACAACTGAGACACACTGCCTGCAGGAGCTAGGAGAGGGTCTGTTCACAGCCTTCACTCACAGATGTTCTCATTGACATGAAAGCTGGTTATGGCCATAAATGATGTGTATTTGGGGAAATCCTCAGTGAATGGCTCCTTTCCAAGACATTTTAAGCAGTGAAAATCTTTTGGAGCTGCATACCAAGCAGGAGGGCCTGTACTCTGAGGTCTAAGAGGCAGAAACCAGTTTGAGCATCCTAACAATAAAGGGTCTTTTTTTTTTTTTTTTTTTTTCTTTTTTAATGTATTTAAATTCTGACTTTCATCTTCCAGGTAGGAAGGTGAACACCGAGAACACCGAGTCTCTAATGAGACTTCATTAATTTCATTTCAGTCTGTGTCAGAGGAGATGAAGTCTGGTGGACAGATGCTTAATCACAGAGCCCAGGAAAAAGCTGGGCCCACCTCTGCCACATTCAAAGCATCCTTCAGGACTGACACCCTGAATGAACATTAGCATGCTAAATAAGCTTTGTCAAACCATTCCCTCCTTGCCAGTTTAATATTGCTCATTAGTTTGGATGGGCTGTGAAACAAGCAGGGTGTGACATCAACACACTAAGTTCCACATTCGAAGACACAAGCTTAGGTAGAGCAAAAAATAGTGAATGCATATTTGTCAGTCACTGACCCACAGAGTACCTGCTATGGGTTCCCACTTAGGGGCTTTCTTTCCCTCCTTTTTTAATGGATGCAGTAAGCATCCTTGGAGAGGATGACAGCATTTCTTCCATTAAATATAATAGGAATTTTACATCAATTTCAACAGGAAAAGATGCAAAGAGAACAAAGAAAAACATTCATTTTCCTGAGTCTGTTCAAGTGAACCATTCCAGTTTACATTTGGTACATAGTGGCAAAAAGCCAAAGCAAATGAATTCCTTGTTGTGTACTGTCCACAAATATCATTTTGAAAAGTCAGATTACCAAAAAACACACCAACAACCTCAGCCAAACAGAATAGGTAAGTGTGAAACAGTCACCGCTATCTTTGTTATTAATTACTTATTTTTTAAGAACACATTTTGAATTCCTCTGTTAAAATACAGTTTCATAAATAAGAAAGGGATTTAAGCCAAATCTGTAACTTTTGAAAAGTTTCTTAAAAAGTATTTTCCCTTGGATAGATTTCATGCCCAGGAGTGACACTCCCCTTGTGATTAGCTTCTCAGAGGAACAGACTTAGGGTCAGTTCTTAACTGGTTCCTTTGCAAACCAACACTTCTGTCTTTTGATGATAGCTCCCTCTGAGATTTGTCTTCTGGGTGTGAAGCACACCCAACCTTGTCTGAGCCTTGACTCCTGACTTCAGTTCCTACCCTGGGGCCTTCAGTAATGAGAAGGACTGCCAGCACTCTACTCTCTTGCATTTACCACTTGCAAGTGCTTTTTCTCACTAAAAGCTATTCTGAAACCTGACAGACCCTACAGAAAGGCAGGCAAGAGAAAGTAGAGGCTTGTTTTGATATCCGAATTAGTTATGTTAAAAAAAAAAACAGATAATGAGTTACATTTTCCCTACTAGAAGGAACTCTTCTATTGAATCCTTATGCCGTCAGATTCTAGGACAGAGTGTAAGGCTGCTGATCCATGCTGATGGCTGACACAGAAGATCGATGTAGCTTCCACTCATGTTTGCAAAGGTCTGTCTGTCTTTCTGTCAGTACTGTGGTAGAAGCTGGGTCAGAATGCTATGTATTCACAGAAAGTAAAATTGCCAAGGGAAGACTTGTATATGTGAATGAAATATTTCACTGAGATATCGAAAATTGATTTCAAGTCAAGTCTCACAGAAAGAACACTGACTTAGAACTGCTCCACAGGAACCATGAGTAATTTGGCACAGGAGAAAACTTGCACATGTTGTGCATGTAAAATATCACACTGCTACACATTATAAAATGACATAACTGTCCTATAACCTATCCTGCCTCCTGGCAGTAGCTGAGCATTTTGACACTTGATCATCTCCTGAGGTCTCTTCCAACCTGAATTATTCTGATTTTTCCTTCAATGTCACTCACACTTGAATATTTTCATAGGAGAAGGACTTCCTAGGGTATGCAGTTGCAGCTAACTAACATATTCTTTTTCTTACATCCTCAAAGCAAGATTGTGAGGCTTGAACAAGCATAGCTGACCTGTAGGTTCAGATCAGTAATCCTTTTGTTATTTTTATGCAGGAGGTTAAATATTTTACTGAATTCAGTAATGAACTCTGAAACAATTCAATCATATCTTATTAGACATAACTGCAAACCACAACTTTAAGTTCTAAAGAGGGATAAAATGTGTTTTTCAAGTGTCCTAGGAAGAATGTGAATACATCAATGTTTACTTCTACTTTCTGTGGCTAAAGGGCTCTAAGCAACATGATTTAGCTGCACATGTCCTTGTTCATTGCAGGGGAGCTGGACTACAGTCCTTGAAGGTCCCTTCCAGCTCAAACGGATTCTATGATTTCCCTAAATCAGGTATTTGGGTCGTTTAACACCCAAATTCGGAGCCCTTTCCATTTATTAACTGCAATACGGTTCACTCCCGCTAGGTGCTGCCCTTCCTCCACGGTTTGATAAGGAAGTTTTAAGTTTCATGCTCATCTGAACCAGATTACCGCTGTGGTTGTTGTACCCACAATGCAAAAACCAGGCTCGTTCTTCATCCCAGCGTGGTGCCGCTGGCAGCCGTGATGGAAACCTTCTTTTAAGCACTGACTCAAAAAAAGCACCCACCCAAAAAAAGAACAACGGTCTAAACTCAAAAATGCCAAAAGAAAACTGGATCCCACCATTAGGACAGAAGGCATCCAAAGCACAGCTAGTCCCAGTTGACAGCTAACAGCAAATGCTGTGAGTGCCTTATCTGAAGCGACTCATTCTCAGAATTGTTATGGTACCAACAGAGTTAAGGAAATTCACATTTCCCACCATAAAGCTTTGCATGTCCACTAGATCTCAGAAGCTCCCTTTCCTAGGGTCGTATGTCTTCCATGATGCTCTGTGGCACTCCTGAATGTAACATTCAGTTTGTACCAGTAGCTCACTGAGTCTCCCACACAAAACGAGAATAAAACACAGAGGTTATGGCTGCGTTATGCAACCTAGTGACTGACATGCACATGAAAATAGTTGATACATTCATCCATTTTAATACCCCTGGATGAAGTCCAGTTCTCCTCATTGGAGACAAATATAGCCAACTATAAAGGGATAGAAAATGGAGAAAAAAAACTATTATAAAATTTGGTGAAATTAGAAAAGAAACAACTGTTGGATGTTACAATAATCATAGCCTTGCAGCCAGGCAAAGCATCCTCGCTTGCATAAAGCTGCAAGAGATGCCCAGAGAGGACAGTAACTCTGAGAAGTAGTTGCTTCAAAACTGGTATTTCAGTGCTGGGTTCATCCTTCAGTCCACAGCAGGCTGGGAGCCCTGGGCAGCCTGACCTGTTGTGTGGCAACCCTGCCCATGGCCGGAGGATCAGCTTTGAGGTTCCATTCAACCCAAGCCATTCCATGATTCTATAATTCTATGGTCAGCTTCCTTAATTAATAGATGAATTAAACACCCTATTTTTTATACAGAAGCATCTGCAAGACGTGCTGCTGGCATATACAGAATCTTCCACTGCAAATTGTGCAGTGAATAATTGCCCTCACGAGCATCACATGATCTCATCTCCTGGGTGCACAGGCTGATCACAGTGCTCTCAGCAGAGCCCACACGAGGGAAGCTGAGTTTAAAATATGCATCTGTGGGAGGCTCCTGAAGCGGCTTCCTACTAAGGATGGCCGGGAGCAGAGTGATGCTGGGGGGAAACACCGCATAAAGGAACTAAGGCAAAAGTAACCCCATGAAGCTCCTGCCAGCAAACCACACTGTGATATTTTCATGTGCTTTAGTCTAGTGAATTGACTCTAAAATAGTGTAAGACAAAAAGATTCCCACCCTGGGCTAGTGGATAAGTGACATTATTTTTCTTTTTGTCTGCAATGACAAACTTGTGTACTCAAATGGATAGTAAACCAAACTCTTTCAGGCTTCTTGTACTTCCCCTGATCTTTACTAAACTACAGTTTTAACCCCAATCCTACTCCTCTCTCAAAAAAGAATAAAAAAATAAAAAGGAAGAATGAACCAAGTCATTAGTTGCAGCACATCATCAAAATATCAGATTAATCTACTGTGCCATTTTGCTCCCACAAATGAAAACACATGGTGGTCTGTGTGCTGGCAGCTTGTTTTTCCATTTGGAAAATGCAGTGTTCTCTGCTGCCTTATCCTTAGTCCTTTCCAACTGAACTCTTGAGGCTCCCGAGTGACTCAAGCTCTCCCCATGCCCTGCCTCACCTCCCTGTTTTTGTCATCTGCTCCCTCTGCAAAACTCTTATTTCTCAACTCCCTCCCTTCTTCCTCTTCTCTGTGGCAAACTTACCTCGCTTTTTGAGAACTAGCTTGCCTTTCCTTCCTCCTCTATTTCTCCATTTTCAAAGTAATTTTAACTCCTGGCTCTGCACCATCTAATTTCTCGTTCAGTGGATTTGTTGTTTGTAGCACAACAGACTGGAAAGGGCTCCTTGGAAAGCGCTCCCTCCAGCTGCTCTTGGACAAGTGGGCACGAGTGGACACCTCAGAGAAACTGAGCACACCACAGCAGCAGCTCAATGCTGTCACTCGTAAAGAGAAAGAAAGGTGGATGAAATTCAAGCAAAGCACTGAAACATAATTTAAATGCTCCCTGCCCCTACATTCTAAATAGGCGCTTATGTTTCCTAACATACCCAGTAACTCCCAATCCAACCTCAGCTGTAAGGCCACCCGGTGACACCCGTGCTCCCCCCAACACACACACACACGGGTGCCACGGTAGGGTTCCCGTACCGCTCCCGGTGCTACGTTCCTCACCAACAGCGGCCGAGGACGGAAGGAGCGGAACCGCGTCTCCGCAGCGCCCGGCGCCCGGCCTTAGGGAGAGGCAGGGCAGGACGGGGCGGGGGCCGGGGACCCTGCGTCAGTGCCGAGCCGCCGCCGTCCCCTCCCCGCGCGCTCGGCTCTGCCTCCCGCCGGCCTCCTCCGCCTCCCGCCGGCTGCGGCCGCGTACATAAACGCGGCCCCGCCGCCGCCGGGGCGCTCCGCTTGTAGTCCGACGGAGGCGCCCGGTCTGTAGTGCGGCCGCCCGGCTCCACGCACCGACGGGGCGGGGGCTCCGGCGGGCAGCGGCCCCGCGGCACCTGCCGGCGGCAGCAGGAGGAAGAGGAGGAGGAAGGCGGCGTCTCCCGCCCGTGGCGGGCTCCCTCGGCATGGCCCTGGCGGACAGCGCCCGCGGACTGCCCAACGGCGGCGGCGTGTCGCCGGCGGCGGGGAGCGGGGCAACGGCGGCAGCGGGCGGCTGGTCGGCCTTTCCCGACATCGTGGAGCTGAACGTGGGCGGGCAGGTGTACGTGACGCGGCGCTGCACCGTCGTCTCGGTGCGAGACTCGCTGCTCTGGCGCATGTTCTCGCAGCAGCAGCCCAGCGAACTGCCCCGGGACAGCAAGGGCCGTTTCTTCCTCGACCGCGACGGCTTCCTCTTCCGCTACATCCTGGACTACCTGCGGGACCTGCAGCTGGTGCTGCCCGAGCACTTCCCCGAACGCAGCCGTCTGCAGCGCGAAGCCGAGTACTTCCAACTGCCCGACCTGGCGCGCCGCCTGGCGCAGGCTCGGGCCGCCACCGCCGCCGCCCGCCCCGCCGCGCTGCACCGCGACGGCTCGCTGTGCGCCGACGAACCGCCGCTGCTCGGCTGCTTGGAGGCAGAGCCCGCGGAAGGAGGCGCCGCGGCGGCGTCCGCGCCGTCGCCCACCGCCAGCCGCAGCCCCTCGGGCGGGCCGCTGCTGACGCCCTCGCAGTCGCTGGACGGGGCGGGCGGGCGGCGCTCCGGCTACATCACCATCGGCTACCGCGGCTCCTACACCATCGGGCGGGAGGCGCAGGCCGACGCCAAGTTCCGGCGGGTGGCGCGCATCACCGTGTGCGGCAAGACCGCGCTGGCCAAGGAGGTTTTCGGGGAAACGCTGAACGAGAGCCGCGACCCCGATCGCCCCCCCGAGCGCTACACCGCCCGCTACTACCTCAAGTTCAACTTCCTCGAGCAAGCCTTCGACCGTCTTTCCGAGGCCGGCTTCCGCATGGCCGCCTGCTCCTCCACCGGCACCTGCGCCTTCGGCCCCGAGCAGGGCGGTCCCGCCGAGGACAAGATTTGGACCAGCTACACCGAGTACGTCTTCTGCAGAGACTGAGCCCCGCCCGGCGGCGCGGGGCTGCGCGGCCCTCGCACCTGCGGGGCTCCTCCGCCGGCCCCCGCCTCGCCTCACCGCTGCGCACAGCCCCGGAGGGCCCCGGGGGCGGGAGGCGCCGTGCTGCAGTCCGCTTTGGCTGCCGCGGCGTGGCCCGGCTGCCCTGTGCCCCCTCGAGCCCCCCGGTAGCTGTGTTGGGAGAGGGGAGGGAAGAGGTCACGGGTGTAGATAAACACCCCAGCCAGGAAGGCATACGTGTGCCCAGCCCCTGCTTCTCCATGCAGTGCTGTCAGATTGGGGTGTAGGGACCAAAGAACTCTTTTCCGGTTGCTTTTCAGTGATTTCTGTTGAACTGGTAGGTGTCTTCTCTCATCCCCATGCTCAGACTGAGGTTTCACCTCTTTGAGCAGGTTATGGCAGCCCGTTTTATGGCCCCTCCCATTGAAGGCGATGCCAACCTGTGAAGGACAGCCATGTGGCGGTGATGGCTGCCTGTCACACTGGCATTGCTGCTTGTACTTAACCTGTAGAGATGAATAATTTTGCAGGAAGCAAGCTCTTTGTGACCAGATCCATCCGTGTCCATCCGTCCTCCCTCAGCCTCTGAACTTCCCAGGCTGTGGAGCTGGGCCGAGGCCTGTGCAGCAGGAGAGTGAGGCTGCAGTGGAGCACTGTTCTTAGGATAACCAGTTGTTGAACTGTAGTGTCTGCAGAATCAAGGGGCAGTGCTTTGGGAACTTAAAATGCTGTGTACATTGTAACTTTCATGGGTGGCATGAAGTCCTTGTAATTCTCTTGAAGTCTGCAATATGCATAGAAAATGCAGTGCATATTTCCTTAGCATCCTCCAAATTACCGGGGTGGGGTGACAGCTGGGATGCCATGGTGAAGGTGGAGCCTGCTTCTGTCATGGTGAAATTGTGTGTGTATGTTGAATAGAAGCAGATGGATTTTTAAGTGTAATCAAGAGTACCTTGCTTATTACTTTGAGTTTTGTCATTTTAGTGGTGTAAAATTTTGAAGCCAATGGAACTGATGCTGAAGCAACATTTTTAAGAAACAGTTTCTTGTTTTTCATGTCAGTATTACCTGGGAAGTGACTGCTGAGAGTTAAGAACCTCTCCTGCCACACAGCTCATTCTTAGAAAAGATTAAGCCCCATCCTTATGAAAGGGAGGTGACAGTATTCTTCTGGAGAAATTGCCCTTTAAGGAAGTAAAGTTGCGTTGTGTTCATGCGACTTGGTAGTCTCTCTTGTAGAAGACAGCCACAGCTTGCTTTGCAACCTATGGCCCGAGAGTGGTTTGCACAGTAGAGAAAGTCAAGCAGTTCTTTCCAATAAATTCCTGAAGGTTTGAGTACAAAAGCACTTTAACACCTGATTTTGAAGCCTGTGTTGTCTGTTCAGATGGTGACAGAAAAATATCTTAAATGTAATGTTGAAAGAATTCAACGTTTAACGCCTGAAGTTGCATTTTTTTTTAAACTATTGATTAACAAGTTGATCATTCTAACCCCAAATTTAGAAATACTGCTAGCACTTACGTCTAACCAAAGAATTTCGTAGTAGGGTTTTATTTTTAAACCTTAGTTCCTTTGAAAAGAGCTATAGCCGCTTACGTACTGAGTTCCAGCGCTCAGTCTCCATGTGCATCACTTGGTCATTCACTAAGTACATCTGCAGTTGCATAAAACTGAAAATAACTTCCATAGCCATGAGTTTTTTAATTGGCAAGATTGTTTATCAGTGTGACTAAAGTGATGATGCACATGCGAAAGCTCTGAATGTTGTCCAGCTGTAGATAGATGTGTAACGGAGTATTTTTAAGTGTAGAGCAATGTCCATGTCTTGTTAGATGAGCAATAAGATAGAGTGAGAGGCCAATACACCTGAAGACAGATTGAAACCTGTTTGTCCTATGCCTTACTCTGAGATAATTTCTTTACGCTGCAAGTGAAAGGAGCTTGATCACAGCTACTAGGTCTGTACAATGTCATTCTCAAGAATAATGACTGTCTTTTTCTAATTTCTGTTAAGTAACTCTGAAGTGTGTTTTTTAAAATTTTGTATAAAATTTCAGTGGAAGTGTTCGGATTCGCTCTAGATAGCTTTCTTTTTTTAAGAATCTGGTAGCTTATGAAATCCATCATAGAAGCTATGAGTAGGGGCAGTTTTGAATTGAACTTGTGATTTAGTATGTATATACATATACAGTATATAAGCATTTTACACGAATCATTTAGTTTTTTAATCACTTTAGTGCTACAAAATTTCATATCTAGCTGAGCAGTTACATATTACGCTGTGTACATAATATGGTAATGTTTTATTTGTTTCTTATACCTGTTTCTATGGCAGAAAACTGAATGCGAATATCAGCATCAGTGTAGAACTGAAATTGATCACATATTTGCTTGAATGTGAATCATACCTTAACTTCCAGGTGGTTGAATGCATCTCTCTAACAAAGAATGCCTGTAGTTTGATCAGTGAGTGCTGGCCCATTTGATGGCAGATGACCCAGGAACTCTCCGAATTTTAAGTAAAAGTTGATATAATAAAAATGTAAATAGATCATTAAAAAAATAATCTTTGTGTTTGTGCTAAAAACTCTTCTAAGTGTGATTAGTATTAGACAATGAGGCTGCTCATTTTATATTTAAAATCTCAGTTTGAAATGACAGTGCCACAAATTCAACAGTCATTTGATGACTTGCTGCAGAAAACTCTGTATTTCTTAAAGGTTAATTGGCAATTTCAGTCAAATTTTCAAAAGGTAAAATGCCCCAGGCCAAGTCCCTGAGTCTGTGTGCTCTCCTGTGGTGAGCACTCGGAGGATGGATGGACGCAATAGCTCCTCTAACCCATTATTCTTCAGAAGGAGAATATCTAAAGGCACACTGCTAGAGCCCCACACATGGTTTGCAGCTGTTCACTGTAGATTTACTTAGAGATAAATGCAGTAGCGTTTACAAGAGCTGTTAAACTCAGTCGTTCTTTTAATTAGAATTTAAGATTTTCAGTGATGCATATCGTGAAGGGTGACTGCGGATGTTTGATAGGATGTTTATATTTTTATACATGTAGATAACAAACCACTTGCTCATTCTTATTTTCACATGTATAGCATTGAAAATAAAGATCCTCCTAGGAAAATGTTGCGTACCAAATTAAATTGTTGTTCTTTAAATATTAACTTGGTTGTGTGATTCATGCTGTCCTTTTTACTCTAGTGAAGATGTTGTTGGCTTTGCGCTCTGTTCACAGTGTCATAACCATTCAACAAATACTTGTAGCTAATAAATAAAACAGGAACATCGAACCAAGAATGGGGATTTCTAGTAACAGCCGTAGCACGATAAACAGAAATGTATAATGCTCTGAGCATTTTAAGTGTCACGGAGAATTTTTGTGGTACCACTCAGTATAAATCCATCCTCAGGGAACCATAGTGAATAAATAGTTTAATTTGAAAAGCACAAAACGTTAATGTAAGATGCCCATGTTTTTTAAGAAACTAATTAAATATAATTAACTTAGATATAATAATTATTTAATGAAGGAAGCTTTAATACTCAAGGAAAGATCTGAGAAATGCACTTGGAAACTGCTATGGAACAGAAGGGTGATGGTGTTGGCTACCCTGTGAACTCCAATAAACTGTTACAAACCCAGTGGAGTGTGCTGTGGTCAGATTCCTTGCAGGTTAGTAATGCCAGTCAAAACCACTTGTGTGAAGCATCTGTATTTAATGGAGGTTTTCTTGGGTAGAGTGGTTACAATGCAACAGAATTAACTGAAGGCCCCTAGCACAAGAAAGACAACTCTTGGAGCAGGTCCAGAGGAAAGCCATTAAGATCAGAGGGCTGGAGCACCTCTCCTATTAAAAAAGGTTGAGGGAACTGGGCTTATTTAGCTTGTAGAAGAGAAGGCTCCAGGGAGACTTCATTGCAATCTTTCAGTACTTGAAAGGAGCATATAAGCAGGAGGGGGAACAGCTGTTTACAAGGGTGGATAGTGATAGGACAGGGGGAAATGGTTTTAAACTGAGACAGGGGAGGTTTCAGTTAGATATTAGGAGGAAGTTTTTCACCCAGAGGGTGGTGACACGCTGGAACAGGTTGGCCAAGGAGGTTGTGGATGCCCCATCCCTGGAGGCATTCAAGGCCAGGCTGGATGTGGCTCTGGGCGCATCCAGTGGTTGGCAACCCTGCACACAGCAGGGTGTTGAAACTAGGTGATCGTTTTGATCCTTTTCAACCCAGGCCATTCTATGATTCTATGATTCTATGAAGGAAGTTTCATCAAGTCATCTGATGAGTTGATAGCATTTGAGAGCTTTGTTGTTACATAACAGTACAAGAAAGGAGGTTGTTTCATTATTTAGCAGAACTTTGTGCCTGTCTTTCTACAAAGTTAGCTCTCATTTCATTTGCGTCACCACTTCAAATGTTTAGCCACACTACTTTCATTTTACTTCTATGGGTAAAAGATGATACCGTCTTTGATATCTGCCATACTGAGGGTTATGGCTGAATTCTATCTTTTTCCCTCAGTGAACAACTGCATTTTTCCCATTCCTTTATCCAGCCATCAGTATTTATGGATTTTGTAAGAATGCAACATCTGTGAGGTTTCTTAGTTCTTTCAATTTTCTTTGAAATTACCCATGAGCTCAGAAGTTATTAAGGAGGGCAGATGTTCAACCAAACAGACAATGCGTGAACCTTTTTCCTTAGGGAAAATAGGCTAACAACAAATTACTATAATTAATGCTTGGCACTGTCTATATAAAATCTTTTGTCAAAGGGAGACACATTAGTCCAAGCATAGATTGAGGAGGTGAATGTCCATGCCTACTTTTGTGACACTGGCCAGTCAACCAAATGAAGGGGTGCATTAGAATGGCTTAGAACTTTATCCAGCCTCTAGATTTCTGCAGTGCTTTTAAGTGAGGCTCTGACAGCTGTGAGTCTTGTTAGAACAGCCTTTCCTGGCTGGCTGTCCGAAACCCATCTGTTGGTACCCTCGCTGGAGACAATTTGTTACAAACACAGAGCTCTTAGGGCTCCCACTGCCCTTTTGGTGGGCAGAGAAGGATCGCAGTGTACGGCGAA